TAATGAATATAAGGTTCAATGGAATAATTCAAATGTAGTCCTAAAAGAAACGGATGGTAAAAAAAGAAAAATCAAAGAAGCGGCTCTATTTATGCTAAATGGGGCCAATTGTGTCGCAAATTCCTCGGCAGAATGTAGTAGGATCTGGTTACCAATATTGAAAGAGGAAGTTATTAATAAGAAAATACAAGTATTAGTAAGTCAGTAGCATATAAAGGATACATCATTTATGTTTTTTAAATAACGGAACATATAAAATCAGAATTTTGGTGTTTGTTGAAGGTAAACTAAATTCACGAACAAATACTTACAATGTCGGTATAGTATCATGAGGTTTTTTTCCTGGTTTTTCCCTCATAATGTACTATGGAATCACAAACAGGAGAATTTTACTGTCATCATGTCATGTGTTTGTATTTTAAATAGATATTTTCAAGTTAAAGTTGATTTCATGTAATCGAATGAACTATCTTATAAGTAAAGTCGTCCCAATAGCGCAACTCAACAATATTGGCAATATCATTTTAAAGTTGTCTACTTTAAAATGCATAATGTATGTCTGAATTGTCAATATAAATGAAAAAAAAAAGAAGAGGTTAATCTTTGTAAATGGGTATATTTATTTAAAAAATCCTTAAAAGGGCCACATCAATAAAACAAACGTTTTCGGACCACACAGTCCATCATCAGGTTTTTAAAATCGAAAACTGCCTAAAAATAAGTATAAACCATTTAGTTAAAACAAACGAGATTGTGAAGTAAAAACCCTTTAAATTACATTTAGTTATGAAATATTGTACATTGTGTTGTAAAATAACTGTGATGTTCAGTATTAAATTAATTTGACTATAGGTAACACATGGCTCAATCGGATTCCAGAGCCGGTGAGAGGGAACCTCTACACTCGGAGAACAGCGTGGAACTGATTGATAAGATACTTTTGAAGGATGAAGATAACAGAATGTCAATGCAACAAAAACTATAATAGTTGTACATAGTATTACTACAGCCAAAAGATTCAACAAGTTTTGATGATTTTAAAAAATAACAACAATCTAGGTGTTGGATTTAAAAACTTTTTTATTTATTAATTTAGGGTATAAAAGATGTCAAATCAATGATGGTTTTATAGTCATGATTAATAGAATGACCTGTGCCTTAGGCAACTTATATTGCTTTTCGTCGTATGGAATGTGGTCTAAAGTGTATTTAATATTGGGTGAGCAAGTTCCAATGTAAAAGTTTATATCAAATAACGCAAAAACTATGGCAGATATTGAGATGATTCTTTTTTTATATGGAAGGTCTTAAAAAGTTCTAGTGCACTATTTGGTTGTAAATTAATAAATTGTTTAAACATTATTTTTTTTTTCAAATATTTTTTGGTTAAAATAAACGTAAAAATTTTTTTTTTAAATAGGGCACTACAGAATTTGACCCACTTTCCGAATCTGCTTTTATTTTTAACATAAAGTGTAACACAAAGCAGCTATTTGGTATAAACTTTTTTAAAAATCTCAAATTTTACTATAGTGTATTTTTATGTATGAGAGAGTAATAAAACAATAAATTATGTATGCAAATCCCTAAACTGTTGATACGGGTGACTCAATGAAAAACAGATATTTGTCAACAAGTTTACAGAAGTACATAGGAAAACAATTTTAAATTGAGTATGACCACCAGGTATAAAGGTTGGAGCAGAATAGAATACAATAGTTGTGAGGGTTACTAATCCCTAAATAAGGTTGCCAGTGTCGGAGTGATGGAGGTTAACAGGTACTAATGAATTTGCAAGAAATGTAAGATGTTTATTTTATTGGTTATATATAACCAATAAAAGTTTAATAGGTACCTACCTATTTGCAAAATAAAGTTTAATTCTTTAGATAAAATAAAACGTTTTATTTTATCTGAAATGAGTGCATGCCACGAAGTACGGGTTTCAACAATCAAACATTTAATTCTTTAATTCCAAGAATCTACGACAGTAATTGACTAGATAATTACCTTCTAAACTTATTCCACAGAAAATGTGATAGTGGGTTTTTCCATTTTGTAGGAAGGTCCAAGTGGCATATTCAAAATTCTTAACAGTTCACTAAAAGTAGGTACTTCAGTTTGCAAGGTGTAGTTTATTGTGTATACTAGTGTTATGGAAAATTTGGAAGTGCCGTGTAAACGCCGAAAAATTGGTCCTTTAACAGTTAATGAAAAAACATTAATATTTAATTGTTTTAAATCATTTACAGACAAACGTTTACGTGAAAGTGTTAATGAGACCGTTGAGTAAGTTAGCAGTACACTTGGTGTTGGGAAATCTACGATTTACAGAGTTATTAAAGAAGAGAAATGTGGTAGTTTTCAAATGCCACGTAATGCTCCAGGGAAACCAAAATTTCAAATAGAATATCATTTTAAAGAAGGACTTCGACGGAAAGTGCATGAATTCTTCTTTAGACAAGAATTTCCAACATTGGATAAAGTTCTTGTCTCAGTTTGAGATGATAAGGATTACCCAGAAATGAGTCGAAGTACGTTATAGAAACTTTTAAAAGAAATAGGCATCCGCTGGAAAAAGAATCCCAGAAAGTCTATTTTATTAGAAAGAAGCGATATTGTCATATGGAGAAGACATTTTCTAAGAACCATAAAGGAAATGAGAAACCAAAATAGAAAAATATTTTATCTTAATGAAACATGGATCAACGAGGGTCATACACTAAATAAATTTTGGCAGGATGAAACTGTTACAAGTCAAAGGCACGCTTTTGTAAATAACTTATCTACTGGTTTAAACCCACCATCAGAGAAGGGACGCAGGCTGATAATAGTACACATTGGCAGTTCAGACGGTTTTGTTGAAGGTGGTTTATTAACTTTTGAATCAACTCGTACCGGTGACTACTATGAAGACATGAACGCGGATGTCTTTCAAGAATGGTTCGAAAAAATGATAGATCTTCTTCCTAAGAACTGTGTAATAGTAATGGATAATGCAAGTTATCACTCCAGACTTATAGAAGGACTGCCCACAACCAAGTGATTAAAAAAAGACTTGCAGAATTGGCTGAGTTTAAAAAATATTACGTACTATCCCGGATCTATAAGAAAGGAACTTTATTCGTTGTGTGCCCTTCATAAAGAAAAATTTAAAAATACGAAATTGATGAAATTGCCAAAAATCGTGGAATGACCGTACTTAGATCCCCACCATATCATTATGAATTAAACCCGATTGAACTGGTATGGGCACAAATAAAGAGTGAAGTTTTAAGAAAAAATACCACTTTTAAAATTCATGATGTTAAACAGTTGTTTTTGGAGGCCGTAAATAATGTAAAACCTGAAAACTGGGAAAAGGCAGTAAATCACACTATTAAAGAAGAGGAAAAAATGTGGAAGCTGGACAATATTACTGATAAAATGATCGAGCCAGTTATTATAAATCTTGGTTCTGAAAGTTCATCTTCTGAATCTGATTTGGATTTGTAACAAATAGCTGTAAGTTTTATATTAATATTTTTATTCATCTATTTAACATACCTTAGACGGTTTTAAAAACTCTTTTTCTCTTTTGTAATTTTTAAAAATTAAAAAAAATGTGAACTTTTTAAAACCCTTTTTAATGTAGGCCAGTCATTTCGAATATAGTGTGTGATAAAAGAGGTCACTTTTGTTTACATACACATAATACTTTATAACACTGAAATAATTCATTTATTTTTTACAATTATTCAAAGTAATTTTTCAATTAATCTTGAGCACGCCCATGGAGTGGTCGGAGGTACTAGTTAAAATTATGCTAATTACTCTCTCGTTCATAAAAATAAACTATAGTGCTTGATAGACCTCATGTAGTACAGAAAACATAGCGTTGCTGGTACATTTATTAGACAAAAACCCGAACTGCCTTTGGGATAAAATATTTTGTTCGACGAGAAAGGACATAAGTCGGGCTTTTATAAGTCTCTTAATAATTTTTGATAGGACAGGTGGACAGTAAAACAATAGGTCCATAGTTGCAAACATTACATATATTTATTCCCACCCTTAAGAAGAGCAAAAATAATGCCTGTCTTCTGGCACTCTGGAAATATAACTTTTCCAATGGAAGCGAGACGAGGACTTCCAACACATTATTTGTAAGATTTGATAACATTTTTATGGATAGTCCATCAGTACTACAGCTGATGTAAGATTTTCTTTTGATACGACTGATTGTTAGGATCAGTTCTGATTTATCACCTTATCTTATAAAGAATGAATTCGAGACCTCTTTTGAATTGGAAAGATAGGAAATAGAATCTTTTTGTTGCAAAAAGCTGATGATATAGTTTTACCCATATTAACGAAGTATTCATTTAGATTTTCAGGGTTTGGAAAAGAAAATGTTTAACCTGTGTTAGTTTTATTTCGAAGATCGATTTTTATGGACCAAGTTTGCCTTGAAACATTTTTTAAAGCTTCCCAGACGATGCTTATAGTTTATTTTTTTGGCTGTTTTGATAAATTTTAGATGGGTTCCTCTGTACTTGGAGATACATTTAGAAACATTGGTAGTAAATTTCTATTTAGAAATCAGCCATATTATTGGTTGATATATGGAACTTTTTTGCATAGAGGCGATCAGGAAGCATCTTGATCTGCTTCTGAGGCGAGTGTGAGCTCTGCTTTATTTTACAAATTAAATTTAGTTGTCAAAGATAGCCTAGAAGATATAAACAATGTAAAAAGTGTAATAAACAAAATAAAAGCCTTAGTCACTTTCGCTAGGCACAGCAATCTCTTCATGGAAAGGTTACGGATGGAGCAGGAACGGGAGGGCAAGTCAGAGGGTTAAGTGAAGCTTTTGGTACAATCCGTACCAACCAGATATAATTCTGTCTGCCATATGCTTAAAATATATGCCATAGTTGTCACAGATAGCCTAGAAGATGTAAACAATGTAAAAAATGTAATAAACAAAATAAAAGCCTTAAATTAAAATATTCACACTAATGTCCTCATATATAGCTGTAATATTGGCAGATCCCTCGATTAAAAAAGCACCAAGGATGACTTCTGGTTCAGATATAAAACTAATCACTGAAATTGTAACCATTTTATCGCCTTTCGATGAAACCACAAAGGAGATCTTAGGTTTCCAGTACATTACTGCTAGCCTTGTTATCCCCCTTAGGTCTGTTATCGAAAGATATTTAAAAAAACCTCAAGCCAAACCTTAGTGCAGCCGAAAAGTTATGCCAAAAGCTTATAAATAGCCTATAAGAGAGGGATTTTAAGCTTTTATGAAACCTTCTGCTTTGCTATGCTACAATCACGGACCCCGAGGTTCAAAAAACTATATCTGAATTCGTCGATAGCGGAGACAGTCACATCCAATTTAGGCTCGGAAGTTGGGACGTACCTTATCGAAATCAAAAAACTTTCTCCTTCCTGCTCCTTTCAGAATAAAGAAGCCAAAGTGAGTTTACAATCAAACCCTCTTTGGTCTTTATACGATCTAGAGTTGGTGAACAGTGGTTCCAGTTCAAGTTCTCAGGACACACGGATTCAAAATTCTTTTTCAAATGAACTGACTCTATATCTGCAGCAGCCTTTGTTGCCGAGATTATGTGATCCGTTTTCATTCTGGAAGCAGAACAGAACCTGTATGCCAGTCTGAGCTCTTATAGCTAAAAAATACATGTCGTTGGTAGGAAATTTGTCGGCATCAGAGAGACTGGTGTCATCATTAAATAATATTGCGTCAGATGAGAGAAGCCGCTTAACCGACCAACATATATATACTTAAACGAGTTTTTCTCAGTAGGCTTCATGAAAAATACTGACCAACACAATGGTTAATCCATTTTATATAATATAACCTATTTATAACCTTCTAACCTCTTTTTTACTTAAAATATTACTTCTTTCTACTTATATTATACTTTAATCTTATGCTAGGTTATATTTAATGATAATCAATAAATATATAATAATAATAAAATAATAAAAAATATAATAAGTAATAGAATAAAATGGTTTTATTAAAAATTGTGTTTTATTTATATTGATATTGATGTTCTTTCGATAATACTAATTTTGATCATATTGATATCTAGTCAAATGAAGTACCGCAAACTAAAGTGCATTGTAAATGTAACTTTGTAAAATATTGGATGAAAAAAACCGACAAATGGTTTTTAAAAAAACCAGTTTGTTTGGCCGATTTTAAGAGCCAGGTTAAACCGTAAGCAAAAAAAAACAAAAAACCGGTATAACCGAAAACCGGTGTTTAGTCAAAAACCGCCATCCATATTATGAACATTTACAAATCCATTTTGGATTATTCTTAAAGTTTAACAAACAATTTTTATACCATTTTACAAAGGAAGTTTTTACTTTATTTTAAGTTTTTATAAAGTATGGTACACAGCCAGCCTCTAAAGACCCGTTTTCACGCTACGTCTTATTGTACGTTTTGTTGGATAGGACAAATCCTATACAATAAAACGTGGCGTGTAAACAGCAAAACGTACGTCTTGTCGAATCGAAATGAAATCCAAATACATTGTGTGTATACACTGGACAAAACGTACGTTTTGTCGTACGTTTTATATGACCGACAAAACGTACAATAAGACGTAGCGTGAAAACGGGCCTTAAGAATTTACCTTTTACGTTTTAAAACAAAATTTATAAACAACATTTTTAAATTTAAAATGGGTTTAGCGTTTTTCATAAAGGTATCATATCATTAATTAATTTATTTCATTTGCACCATGCTGTTTTTAGTTTAAAAAAACAATTGCAATTTATATATTAAACTTTTTGATATGTTTATATATAATTCCATTTGGGTACAATGCACTGATGCTCAAATAATAAATTGAATTCTATTGCATGCATTTTATTTAATGTATTTTGGCGTTATCTCTTAATAGTCTACGCTATTTATTAACATAATCAATTTTTAAATTAATTAATGTAGTATATATAATTTAAATTTCCATTCAGTATAATACATTGAACAATTATTACATTAGTACTAATGAAATACTCTATAGTTGATTATTCTAATATAATTCCATGCTATTTTAAATAATTTATAGGTTTTACATTTTCAGGCCTATTTCCAGTCAAATCAATCGATTTTGGTTACTATTCATATGTGTGTGCGGGTGCGTGCATTTAGTGACATCAGGAAGAGAATCATTCGTATTTTTCTTTTACTACAAAGATAACCAATAAATCGTAACTATTTCTTTCAAAATAAGAACCAAGTATTGAAATATTGGTTGATTGACAAAACCAAGTTAATGAGGTTAATGAGGTCACCAAAAAAGATCTTTTCTTGTTATGTTTATTATCAAATAATATATGATTTATACCTGTCAACGTCTTAATATCACAAACTTAGTTAGGTTAGTCTATCATCTAAATTTTATATAAATGGACAAGAAAACACACTGATTTTATTTTGTTCTTGTACTAGTAGACTTATATTTGCTGATTATGTATGTTTAATGAGGAATACTTTAGGGATGATATTCATAATATCATCCCAAAAGTCTATTCACTGTATTCTGTGTCCATTCATTGTATGTTGTTTTTGTCATCCATTCGTAACCAGCCATTCGCTTGATGTCATCAGTCTATCTGGTTTGAGGTCTTCCTTTACTTCTCTTGTTTGCTTTTAGTCTCCATTCAATAATTCGCTTTTTCCAGCGGTTGTGTTTCATTATTTATATGTGTTCTGCCTAGTTCCATTTTAACTTGGCAATCTATTAAATTACATCTGATACTTTGATGATCTTATTTCTTCATTGGATTTGCTATTGCTGAGCTTATTATTAAGGATTCTCCATTCCAAAGCTCTTTGAATCACTTGAAGTTTGTGGACTATGTTGTTGTTAAAAGCCCATGTTTCAGTTCCATTTGTCAGAACCGTCAATACGTACTGATCGAAAGTTTTTTTATTTTTTATTTTATTACAACTACAAAACTATATATATATATATATATATATATATATATATATATATATATATATATATATATATATACTGGGTGGTGAATCGCCAAACGGGCCATAGGAAATCCAATGGGAAATTCTAAATTGTTGAATTCCTGCTTCCCCAATTTTTTTACATCTAAAGTCATAAGAAACTATTTGTAGAGGACTGAAATATGTATTAAGAACAAATTTTAAAATTGTTCTACGAATTAAATGTATTCCAAAATTTTGTAAAAATATAATACATTTTTCAGGACACCCCTTAAAGCGTTGCATTTGATCATGTTTATGATTTTGATATTTGACAATATTTGAATTGTCTATATTTTTATTTTGTTTTTTTTTTTTTATCGAGTTAATGCCTCGACAACTATGATCATTGGCATGGTACAGTTAGGTACCTAGTGTAGTGTGTGTGTATGTGTAGAGTAATTGTCTTGATAGTTAGCACAGTCGACGTCATTGTCTTTGCTAAGAGACGCTAATTGTATCCGAACGTCTGCGGTCCCTCCGGTGAGTAACGATCGCACATGGATAAAAATAATTTTCATTCATTAATTTTTAATAAACAACAATTTCTCTACCCAGATGGGATTCGAACTCACGACTTTTAGGTTTAAAGGTAGGCGCTCTTACCACTGAGCCAAGAGGGGGTTCTATTTTGTGATTAAATTTATATATATATATATATATATATATATATATATATATATATATATATATATATATATATATATATATATATATATATATATATATATATATATCCGGTTTTTTAGGAGTTACCCGTCCGGTAGGGATCTATGGAGGAGTATCACCGAGCCGCAAGCCCTTATCTCTTGCCGTACTGCTCCACCATAGGCCGATCAGAACCCAGCATATCCTAGTCTAAGCCGCAGATTCATCTAGAATTTTAAACTGCTGCGTTAGACTTTTTGTTTTCTGTACACCGAGCTGGGGCTCGACCCACATCCACTAAACCATTCGACAGTGAAGCGAATGAGAGGCAGCCGCACAGCCCGCTGAGCTATCTGACCGACTGATTAAATTTATACCAATACTAAAATACGCAAATTTTCACAAATACTACTACTACTACTACTACTAGTGAACAATAAATAGTACTTTGTAAATAATAAATTATATTGTTTACAAAACAATAACATTGATATTAAACTAGTCTACAATGGTCCGAAAACTTATTCTAGGATTTTCTATGACTGCTGTTAATACATTTATTTCATTTTGATTTTCTAAATTTTTTGGTACCTCAGCAATATTGTTTGTACATGTACAAGTAGAAACCACGGTCCCAGTATTTACAACATTTTGAAAAATCTTTTGAATTGTTGAATGACTTTTTGAAATCTGGTTTATTGGGATATCTTACGCTAAATAAAGTATTGACAATTCTCGCACTATTGCCTGAATAAAACATTTTTATTATTGCTACTTTCTCCTTAACTGAATACATTTTTTAATCAACTATATTGTGTTTTAAACAATAAATCACAGAATTAAAATGTTGGCAACTCAAATATTGTAGAATATCGACAACATAAATATGACCAAACGCAACATGTCATACACATTAATGTATCTCGTGTGGCCTGGATTTAAGGGGTGGCCTGAGAAATTTATTATATTTTTACAAAATTTTGGAATACATTTAATTCGTAGAACAATTTTAACATTTGTTTTTAACACATATTTCAGTCCTCTACAAATAGTTTTTCATGACTTTTGATGTAGAATAATTAGGGAAGCAGGAATTCAACAATTTAGAATTTCCCATTGGATTCCCTATGGCCCGTTTAACGATTCACCACCCTGTATATATATATACATTGAAATGATTTTCATTCAATATTCATGAAGCCATCCTAATGTGGGGTCGACTCTGAAATAAAAGAGAGAAATAGATTAGAAAATTGTTAAATAAATTAATTTTGACTTACCTGGTATAGTGTTAATAATGTCTGAATAGTATAGTTGCCTAGTGTATAGGTGAATCGTCTAAACCTTAAAAAGAAAAAAAAAAGAAGAAGAATTCTTAAAAAATATTTAAACATAGAAATTTTAAAAAATAAATGAAGGAAATTTATTTAAAGTGTCAATCCAGTGTGTGGGAGCTAAATTAATAGGGGTTTTGTTAAATAAGAAATTACAATGATGTGGAGATGAAAAGAATAAATTGTATTAGGTAATAGAATAAGTTTTATATCTGAACATTTTTTTTATATTCCCAAATTAGATGTGATTCAAGTGATTATGAGAAATTAATGTGGCTTGACAATTATGTCAGAACAGGACAATTTTATGGT